ATATCTTCCCCTCAATTTTGCTGTGAACCTAAAACCGCTCTTAAAAATTATCTTAAAAAAAAAAATGTCCCTGATACTCTACAGTTTGGAAAAACAACAACACAGCACTAGCTCTCTCTCATTCTGAGGACCGGGGATAAAATATGATTCCTGGAACAGATCTGACCAGCAGGGGATGGGAGATGGAGGTGGGGGGTGGGGGGGGATTATCTGCATGTCTTCCCTGAACCTGGCCCATTCCCTCTACATGGTGGATACAGCCAACCCAGCTGACCTCCGTAATGGTAGTGACACAGAACACTGGGTGGCGTGGGCTCAATCCTGGGGGTTAAATTTCTGGGTGGGTGGGTGGGTGGATAGACGAGTGGATATGTCAATGGATAGATGCGTGGGTGGGTGGGTGGGTGGATGGACGTATGACCGGATGGAAGGATAGACGGATGGGTGGCAGATGGATGGTTGAGGGGATAGGTGGAGGGGGGATGGAGGGGGGATGGATGGGTGGATGGATGAGTAAACCTTTGAATCCTTTTCATGTGTGCTACTTCTAGACAGGTATCTCTCACCCAGTACTTGGGCTATTTTCTCCCCTAAATGTGGTGATTCTCAGGTTTCTCTGCTATCCATTTACCTTAATGAGCGGGGTCAGCGTTTCAGCCTGGCACAGTCCTTTCAGATGATTCTATCCCCAGTTCTGTTCACAGCAGACATCCGTTGAAGCCGTGGCGAAAGGAGAGAGGCGGGCTTGAGGGTCCAGCTGACCTTGAGTCCATCACTAGTTGCACCATTTCTCAGCTGTGTGTACCTAAGGCAAGTTGCTTGCCTTCCCTGGGCTTTATAACTCAAGCTCTGAGAAGAGACTGCTGAGATGAATAAAAACCATTGTATATAGAGAAAGTTATTTATAAAGCAGATGATGGTGGCACCTACCAGAGAGGGCCGCTGCAGGGATTAAAGGAGAATCATCCCTTTGTAAAGACGTAACACAACACCTGAAGCAGAGTGAGTGCTCAGTTGAGTCAAGCTAGGCGGGAATTATCTCCTACTATCATTTTCCCCACGGCCTATCTGCCCTAAGCCGCCAACTGCGGCAGAGAAACGGGACCTGTCACGGAAATGACATCAGGCTTTAGGACACTTGCCAAGTCCCGGGAAGGAGCCCAGCTCTGTGCCCTCGTGGCTACATGGTGACCACCATGGTTTGCATCTTCCCCCAGGACCCACCAGCTCCTGGGAGGGACACAGGCATGGAGGGACTGGGATGTGTCCCTCCAAGGCATGGCCCTGATTGAGATCCCTGAGGTCATGTTTACTCCAGGGGAAGGGCTCCCAGTGTGTCCCCCAGAGTGGCATCTGCCGAAATGCCCCAGGAGACTCCTGAGGTGGGAAGCAAGAGGATGGGTCTCGGCTTCCATCTCTTTTATCTACCAGGATTCCATGTAAGGTTTTACCACTTTGTTGCCTTTAACTTTACTTTTTTTTTTAATTTTTAAAAAGATTTTATTTATGTATGTATGTATATATGGGTCCTTGCTGTTCAGGGATGCGGGGCTCGATCCCAGGACTCTGGGATCATGACCTGAGCCAAAGGCAGATGCATAACTGACTGAGCCACCCAGGCATCCTATGTGTTTTTTTTAATTAATACCGTACAAACAAGAGAGTGTACAAACCTTAAGGGTACAACTGCACACATACACACCCACGTCACGCTCCCCCCACCCAGACGTTCACTCAAGCTCCCTCCCAGACAATATCCCCATTTGGGAACTTCACGGGAAGAGAATCATACAAAGGACACACTTCCTGGGGTGTCTGGCTCCTTCCACCCCCCAGGGTGCCTGTGAGACGTATCCACGAGGCGTGTACCTGCTTGTTGTGTACCATTGCATTGTGCGACTCCACTGCCATGTATTAGTTGGGGCCAATTATGAATAAAGCTGCCACGACATTCTTATAGGTAACTCTGAGGCACGTGACCCTCATCTCTGATCGGCGTATACCTGGAGGGGGCCGATCATTCACAGGTCCGGCCCAACCGTCTTCCAAAGCCGTTGTGCCCACTTCTGCCCCCACCAGGGGTCCACGAGTGTTCGAGTGACTCTACTTCCTCACCTGCACGTGGCGTCCCCACTGTTCTTTCTGGGGCAGCCACTCTGGTAAGGGCGTGGTGGCGTCCCTTTGTGATTTTCGTTTGCCTTTCCCTAATAACGAAGGATATCAAGCACGTTTTCACATGACTAGCTGAGATTCGGGGTTTTAAAAGGATCCCCTTCGTGAAAACCCACTGTGGTGCACTCCCAGGAGGGCTTAGCGTCCGTCAGGCCATGCTCCTCAGGCAAGTCCCTGGTCTGGAGGCCAAGGAGGCCCTGGAGAGGCAGGACGGGATGGGGAGAAGCCAGAGGAGGAGGGAGGATGGTGTGTGCTCGGGGGCGGGGTGGGGGGGAGCGTTCCAGAGTAGCAAGAAGGGCCAGCCATTAGGCGACTCCAATCCTGACGCAACATAGAGATGTCCTGTGTGGTACATGAGGCATGGAGCACCCCAGTGGCTGCGCCGGCGGAGGCTGGCTGGGAAACCATCCCCCGCGGCCCGGATTGAGTCTTCGACAAGCAGGTTTCCCGCTGTTTCACAAGAAGGGCCTGTGAGCCACACCTCGATGCGGTTTCCGAGGATGACTGTGACAGGGTGGAGAGGACAGGCTGGGAGGCAGAGCCGGGTGGCAGGCAGGAGGCAGGTAGGCACTGGGAAGTGGCCAGACCGGGAGTTGGGCTCTATTTCCGTCATGGCTACTTCTCAAGCAAGGCTCTTCACCTCTGAGTCCATGCCTATAGGCACGCAGGACAAAGAGCCTGGAAGATAGGAGCTTGGCAGCCTGTCCTGGGGCAGCTTCCCGGACACCACGTGGGGCTGGGCTAGCAGGTGCCCTGGAGCTCCTCGGCAGCCCCGACAGCAATGGGTCACCATCTCACTTCCATCTACCGCCGTCGACCGGAGAGCAGGTGTCCGGAGTGATAGTGGTCAAGGCAGCTTCCGGAGGAGTCTGGCTTGCTGTGTGGGAGGGCGGGTGGACACCTGTCGGGCCATTCTCCCCACTGGAGAGAACCCCCACTCCGCGCTCCTCGACACAGGAGTGAAGGACCTGCCCGGCTAACAAAGACTCAAGCCCCTGCCCGAGCTGAGCAGAGAAGGGGGCCCCACTGGGAGATCACAACAAGAACGGGTGAGAATGTCTTTTCTGACAGCCCACTTAGGGAGTCCCAGGGTGAGGAGAAGGCCAGCCCCCCAGGAAAGACTGTGGCTGCTATCTGTCTCCAGGATTTTCCTCCAGAGAAAGGAAAATTGGGGGTTTCGATCCATGAAATGTGTCAGTCCCTTACAGCTCTTTCAGGACGCCTCCCAGCCCCTATGGGAACTGGGGCTCCCCAGCTGGAGGTACTGGCCTTCCTACAGGCTCTGGATAGAGACGGCACACAGGGCCATCCCGGCTGGGAAGGCTCACCACCTGACATTGCCCTTCCTCTTGCACGGTTCCAGTCATCACCTTCCAGCAATTGGGTCCTCCTTCCCCAAGCCTGGGCCCCTGGGTGTCACCCCAAGCCCTACACTTCTGGCCCTAAACCACCACACACTCAGGTTCCAAGCAAGACATTCACCGGCCTATTTTAGAATTATAAATCATTAAAACCAGAAGACCCTCAAAGATCATGTGCCCCAACCCTCAGATGGGGAAACTGAGTCCCACAAGGCTAATAACAGTGAGAATTTCCTTACGTTTCTATAATGTTACAAAATGACCCAAGATCTTTTACTGGGAGCTAAGACTTAAAATACCATGAAGGGGCAGCATCTGATAATATTAAACCCTCACCCCAGTCTTGGGAGGGACGCAGTATTATGGTCATCTACCCAAGACAGAGAAATGAAGAGATGAGGAGAGCTGCCCAGGTCACAGAGTTAGCGCATTGGGGTGGGAGGGGGTGTTCGGAAGCTGTGTCTCTAACCACTGTACCCCCTGCCCACTGTACCCCCTGCCCACTGCCTGCAACCATAGAGACTCTGAAAAGCAGAGCCGTGTCCTGACGGCAAGCCTGGAGAGCCAGGAGAGGGGACCCCGCCAGCCTCGCTTGTTGGGTTGGGGGGATCCTGGGCCTGAAACAAGTTTCAGTATGCCCACAAAGCAGCAAGAGCTCCAGGCGGTGCACAACGGAGCTCGTGGGAACCATGTTTGGTATCAGATGGAGTCATCCGAGACAGGCGGGGCTGACGGAGGGGAAAGGTTTCCTGGAAAAGATGGTATCGACGATGGCTTGGTAAAACGGAAGTGATCTGGAAAAGCCTGTCGAAAACCCAGCCCCGGGAGGACCTCCGTGTAACTGTTTGCAGCAGGAAACAACCAGACTAGGCCAGGCACCCTGGGCCTGCGGGAAGGGAAGCTTGGTGCCCCACGATTCTCACGAGTGGCTGGGGAGGGAAGCTGGAGGCGGGTCTTTCTGGCCCCATTTAGCTGATGATTAACCAGAGGCTCAGGAAGTTAAATGTCTTGCCCAAAGTCACCCAGGTGGTGAGGAGGAGACCATAACTTGGACCCAGGCCTTCTGACTTCAAGCCAAGTGCTCTTTGCAATGTACCGAACATCATATTAAAAAGAACCAAAATGCCACCGTGGCTCAGTTTCGCAATGCTTGTAACTTGCAAAACACACTGCACACGCGCAGTCCCATGTGAGGTCGTGCTCCGGGGTCTTGAAGCGGAGCCCAGACGCCAGTGAACACTGGTGGGCTGGCCCGCTTTGGGAGCTCACGGGCCTGGGTGCAGCCTCCAAGTCTGTCTCTTGTTAGCTCGGTGATGTGGGGCGTGGAGGGTAATGCAGGCGATAACCCCCACTTCAAGAGCCGCAGAGAGGGTCAAGGAGGGCGCAATCAAGGAGCTTGTGCACAGGACCCTCCATCTCCACACCTACCCACCCCGCCCCACACGTCCACCCAAATGCTCAGCCTCGGTGCTCATCAGACCCTCTCCAGCACTTCTTCCACAGAGGACCTGGAGCCCAGGTGTCCCCATTTCTCTTCTTGAGATTGTTTTCCCCTGAGGGGAAAACAGATGAATCAAATCATCTCTCCCCGAGGCGCCCCACAGTGCTGCTCATAGAACTTGCCAGAACTAAACTGCCCCACTCCCCACCTGTCCTGGATGTGTCCAGGTTTTGAAAGTCTTCCAGAACTCTTGAGTCTTCCGCACCCTCTCGGGTTTTGGAGCTCATTGCCAACCCACCCCAACACACCCCATCTGAGAACCAGAGCCCCTCCTGAGTGGAAAAGATTTGCACCTGCCACCTTGGCAAGGCCCAGAGAAGAGCCATTAGGTTTCATTACAGTTTAACATAAGCATTTTCATATCGAAATCCCTTCTCATTTCAATAACTCCAGACTGTGCTGTGATTACTCACAATATATATTTGATTTTGGGAGACTTTCCACAAGGAGAAGCCATGATGTGGGGTCCTGGGATGAGAGAGGGCCCCTTGCCCAGAATGGACAGACAGCTGGGCCATCAATGAGCACCACTCCCAGGGAGACAGGCAGTCCCTCAGCTTCTGGACCCCCAGTCTGTCATGCTAACATGTCCTTGGGGGGAGAGTGATGCTCCCATGGTCCCTGCTGAGGGCCCGTTAACTCCAGAATCACCTCTGGCCACCTCCTAAGTCCTTGCAAATGTGGCCCAAACTTACTTCCAGCTTGGTGGGGACAGAACCACAGGTGCCCAGAAGCTCTGCTCCCAGGGTCTCAGAAAGTGAATCCCAGCGAGAGCAGTCGGCACCTCAAGGAGCCCCGGGAAAAGCCACTTTGATTTTGTGCCTCAGTTTTCTTACCTGTAAAAAGGGCATCAATCCATATTCTGCCTACTTCCTAGGATTATACCAAAGACCTGAGAAAACAAGTGAAAGCCCTTTGTAAACCCTGCCTTTCTGTGATTATAAAGAACCATCATTATGTGGTGACCTTTCAAAATCATCTCCCACCCAGGAGCCATCAAGGCCCTGCTAGCATACCTCCCATGACAGGCACCTCACTTCCTTGCAGGGAAGCCCAAGCTTTCTGCCAGCAGCGCTGACCTTCAGAAATTTCTAGTGAGTCTGTGACTGGATGACAAATTACATTAGGAGAAGAAATAGGTTCTCCATGAACTCGGCCACTCCTGTGTTTTTATATTGCCTGTTCTCATTTTCTTAGTAACTTTCCTTTTGAAGCTTGCCCAGCGAAATAAAGTGCAAGAATGACTTGGCCCTATGGGGAGTGATTGATGTGGTAAGCAGACCAGGCTGCCAGGGCCACATACCTTGGAAGGGGCGTGATTTGAGGACCGCCCCCCAACCCCACATGAGCCAGAGCCTGTTGAGAGGGGCACCAGGAGGAGAAGAGCCTGGAAGAGCTGGAGGTGTAGCCCCTTACAGGAGATCCTCAAACCAGGCAGGGGAAACCCTGGGCTTTGTGGGGTGAGTGAGGGTCTTCTTGGGCAGCACTAAGAGAGGGAGTGATGGACCCCCCTGAACAGGCAGTGGGGGGCTCAGGGGACAGGCTGTTCCTGAGACCGGGGGCAGTGTGAATGTTGGAGTGGGGGAGGTGCAGTTAGACCGCTTACACCCCCATCTCCCCCTCAGGAATGTGCGTGAAATCCCAGTAACTCTCTCCAGCTGGGCCTGACCTTGGAGAGGGCTCTGAGACAAACCCCGTGGCAGGGGTGAGCTTCTGGGAAAGTTAGCCTTTTCTGTGCACCATCCTTTTTTCTCCTAACGACAACTCAAGGTGTAAAGAGCAGGTGGGAGGGGCTGGGAGGCCTGGTGACACTGGGGAGAGCATTCCAGATGACCAGAATGCCTTGTGCAAAGTAGAGTGTCACAGCCTCTCACACTGTCTGCATGTGTAAACACACACACACACACACACACACACACGCAGGCAGACCCTGACCCGTTGCTGCTCACGCAGGCCTAGACAAGTTGGGGTTTGTGGATCATGACTGGCAAGAGACAAGGGAAAGCTGAGAGCAAGGCTGAGAGGCCAACAGGTGGGATTAGAGAAGGGGCCCTAGCCCCAGCCACCTGGAGATGCCCAAGAAGCAGACATGTCCCTGCCCTACTAGAAACAACACTTACTTACTAAGCACTGACTAGTCACAGGTACCGTGCTAAAGGCCTGAACCTCATGTACACCTGTTGTTAGTCCCATTTTACGGACAAGGACACTGAGACTCAGACGGTTTGAGTGAGTTGTCTAAGATTATACAGCTGAGTAAATGGCAAGCTCAAGACTCAAAACTGAGCTGGCCTGTCTTCCTCTCCAGATGAACTTACAACCAGAGGCAGCAGGGGTCACGAACCGCACCGCCTCCCCCGCCCCCACCAAGCAAGGTCCTCAAGGGGGCTGGTCAGAGCCCCTCACTGAAGATCAGATTGCCTGGTTTCCATCACCAGTGAGCTGTGTGACCCTGAGCATTTCACTGACCTTCTCTGAGCCTCCACTTGCCCATCTGACAGCAGAGGCAAAGGGGTGGAAGCCTCAAATGAGACGATGTAGGAAAAAGTGCATGTACTATGTAAGTGACATCATGACAATGTGGCCCCAGGTATAGCTTAGGGAAAGTCTTCAAACTTCCAGGGACCAACATCACCACCACCAATTTACATTGATTGACTAGTGATGACAAAAAGAGTGACCATTTCTTACACGCGCTCTGTGCCAATCACCCTAACCCCTTCCATAATCTCCATCTGCCCGGGACAAAAGATCACACAGCCGGGACTCGGGAGGGAAGACGGATGGTGCCCATCTGGAGCCCCCGGTCTCCATCCAGGAGGTCTGAACGAGGTGACCGCAAAGTGACCAGAGATCAGAACCTAAGCAAATTCGGTGGCCAAGAGTAAAGGGTATTTGCACTAACGCTGATGACCCCAAGCAGACAGGGCTGAAGCACAGCGCAGTCCCGCAGCTGCAGCCCCAGCACTAGTCCAGGCCCACCTCTGGCCCTAGGCTAGAGAGTCAGGCCTCCTAGCTCTCTAGCCCAAGGGAAGGAGAAGATAGAGGCCTGGCTGAGTCCAAGCCACAATGGCCAGCCAGCCACGGACTGGCTGCATGGTTCCAGGCCTCTGGGTGGGTTCCCCCACCACCCAGGCTCAGGGGGGCTGAACTGGGGAAGAAAGCAAGCGTCCACTCCTGGGCAAAGGGAAGAGATTTCCACAACCTCCAATGTAAGAGCCAGGCAAGGAGTTCATACGGGGCCTCAGGGGGCCAGCTGGGAGGTTCATCTTGATGCTGAGGCCACAGGGCTCCAGGGCCAGCACTGCTGGTTCCCGAGCATGGAAGGCTGAGCCCGAACCCCCGCCGTCCTGCACTGCCCTCAGCCCCAGCCTCAGTGGTGCCCTGGCCTGGGCCGCCAGAAGCTCCCTATCATGGGTGGATGGGGACCTGCATTCTCACAGTTGAGCGTCCCTATAACGACAAGATTAAAACGAGTCTCGGGAGCCTTGTCTCCATCGGATACTCAGGGATGCTCGTGTCCCTGTGAAGCAGCTGGGCTGCCTTCAGACCTACCCAAGAGAGGAGAATGATCCAGAGCATCCCCACTCAAGCCCTTGCCAGCTGCCTCCAGCTGGCGGGAAGGAGCCACTCCTGCACACCTGGGCTGGAGAGAGGGCCAGGTGGACTCTGACCCACTGGGTGGGCCCGAGGCAATGTAACCAGCCCCTCCCCCACCCAGCCAGTCCTACCTCCCGGCATTGGGTGGGGCCACATCCGGACACCCAGCCTCCTCCGAGCTTCTGGCCCCCCAGAAACACCTGTTCTGCCTGCATCACTAGATGCGAGCAGAAGGCAGACTACCCCGGGAGAGCTTTGTGAGCAGAAGGGCCAAGGGCTGCCCCGAGGAGCTCGGGAAGAGGCAGCTACAGGGGCGCTCTGGTCTGTCGAGCTCCAGAGAAAGCAGTGTCTCTGTCCCCAGGCAGGGGTAGCGGGACAGAGCGTGTCACGTTACCTATGGATAAAGCGAAGCCTGTGAGTGGGGTCTGGCTCCTCCCCTGCCCCAGATTCCTGCTCTGTCTCCCCTTGCCTCCCATTTCCCAGCCACATCCCAAACTTGCAGTATCTCTCACACAGTCTGCGTTTCCCATAGGGTCCTTGCCACACTCCTCACCTTGCTGACAATGTTCTTCCGGGAAACTCCTATGAGCCTTTCAAAACCGGGCTCAGAAGGCTCCTCCTGTGCGAAGCCATGAGCTCCGGGAGCCCCCCACTCTCTTCTCCACACCTGTCCCGGGCCTGGGACAGACTTCCTTTGAGGAATCACAAAATAGGGTACTTATTTATATACATTTCTGACTTCCCCACGAGTCAGAGGCAAGACTGCCATCACCCGTCCCCGTGCCCTGCACACAGAAGGTGCTCGGGACGTGTTTGCTGAGCTGTTTGCTCAGCCACATGTTTACTGAGGGGCGACGGGTAGAGCACGCGGGTGTGCTGTGAAGCCACCGAGCACGGGCTGGGGTTCAAGACCACTGATGACAAGTGCAGGGTCAGGGTGGTGAGAGAAGCAGACATGGGGTATTGAACACGGACTGGAATCCGAGCTCCTCACAGTGCGGAGGGCAGATCTGGTTTCTCTCCCTGGCCTGCAGCCCCCCACCCCCAGACTGGACCCCAGTCTGTGTTTACCTCCTAACCGGGGAATCTCGCGTTCTCAGTCTAAGGGCAGGAAAAACGGGTGTGTTATCACCATGTGACAGGTGAGAACACTGAAACTTACAGGAGTCACTGGCTCAGCCCCAGAAACCAGCAGAAGGCAGTTGGTCCCCAGGGCCTGAGCCAAGGCAGGTGCACGCTCTGCCTGGAGGGGGGCTCCTGTGTCCCAGAAAGACCAGGCCATGCCCACCGAAGGAAACGAGGGACTTCAGAAGTCGACCTTGTTCGATTCCAGCCGTGGTGTTCCTGGCAGTGGGACTCCGGACAACCCACTTGACCCCTTTAAGCTTTCTCAGTCAACACAACCAGCCTCAGCCGGGCACCCAGCCTGGCTCACAGGAGATGCTCTCTAGAGGCCTGACCCCCTGCTCACACACAGGTCCCCCGCTCTCCCAGGCCCGGCTGTCTGCAGGTGACCAGTCCTGCCCCAAAGCCTGCGGCGCTGGGTGTGGGGGAGTGGATTTGTCCCGGTGTAACCAGAGAATGTCTGAGGGCCCAGCGCCAGGACTCCAGCGGGGGCCAGCACGGGGCCCCTGCCTCACAGCTGTCAAGGGGAGGCTCAGACACAAAGCAACACAGGGCGAGGGGGTCGGTGGGGATGTGTCTGGTGAGGGGTGAGGGGGACGCAGCTTCTCACCACACGAGGGGCCGGACCTCTAAGATGACCCGCAGCCTCATCAGAGAACGTCACCCAGATGTAGGCTCCCGCGCCTGCTCCGCCACCAACTGGCTGGGTGACCTCAGGCAAATTACTCAACCTCCCTGAGCCCCATTTTTCTCACTGGAAGTACCATTATCAAATTTCACAGCCTCGACATGATCCTCAGACAAACCCCACATCAGCACAGGTGCCTGGCACAGACTTCAGCCAATTTCTCTCGTCTTTCCCTTGTCGCCATGTCTCATTCTCCCTCCGCCTTTCTTTCTTCCACCAGGGTGGGACCCTCCGGAGGGATCAGGCAGGGTCCCGGGCCTCTTGGGATCTGGCACTCCTATTTTGTGAGGGTGGGATAGGCAGAGAGGGCAGTTGGGAGGGAACAAAACCCGAGTTATCCACTCTGGCCCTGGCCCTTTGTGGTCTTGGCCGCAGAATCCCGTCCACTTTGGCCCTTTGCCCTGATGCCCACAAGGGCATATCCGCGGTGTCACTACCATATGTCGCTGTCTGCATTGTAAGCATGTCCTTACAAGGAC